TAAAAGGAGTCTTGACCAGGACCCTGTTGTGCGCACTCAGGAGATAAGAGCGAAAGTCAAGGTGAGTGTGTCATCTTTTGTCTGGACGGTCAGCGTGACACATGGCGTTTCCCTATAAATCTTTGACCTCATCTGGATCGGTACTGGCTTCCCTAATGCATTATTGCCAGTACATACATTTTCCCTAGTTGGCTGCACGCAGTACATTGAACCCCTACATGTCCCAGCAGGTGCTGTTTGTCCTTCTTTTGAGGAAACAGACACCATTGAGAGCTCCTGCCCCTGTGGAGGGGAGACCAGCATGCGTCAGGTGTTAGCATTAATCCTGTGGGAGAAAAGGAAAATGGGCGAAGTGGGTCAGGATGCTCAGCTGTGTGATTCCCACATTTTATGTTGCAGCCATAAGGTAGCATTTATAGCCACCTAGCAAGTCCCCAAGAAACCCTAGGAGGTAGTTGCTTTGATCAGGCTTGTCACTATGGTTTGTATAGGTTTGATGAGACAAATGGAATTGGGTAAGAAAATCCTGAATCGGGAGTGTGGGGAAGTAGTTGAGTGAACTGGGTGGATCAGAGCTAAAATCTAATGGCTAATTTTGTCTTCTTAGGAACTGAACAGCATTTGTGAGCCTGTTGTAACTCAACCCAAACCAAAAATTGAATCACCTAAACTGGAGAGAACTCCCAATGGCCCAAATCTTGACAAGAAAGATGATTTAGAAGGCAAAGATAATTTTGGTGCTGAAGGCCCGTGTCAGAATGGTGAATACCACCCTAACAAAAAGGGCTGTCAACATGGACCTGGACTAGGCTCTGCGCCAGCTTCCCCTCAAAGTCATGAAATGTTTGCCATAGTATGTGACTCTGTACAACAGACTTGAGTATTTATATTTTCTTTCTTTTTTTTAAGACTGTCTAGAAATTTTGTGTATTATATGGGGGAAAAGAAAAGCTTGAGTCTGTAGTCTTTGACCCTAAGGGAGAATGACCTTGGTGACAGAGTCCTGTGGCACACTGAACGCAGAGCAGGCTGTAACCATCACCACAGTGCACTGTCCTGTGGAGGAGCGACAGACACGGGAGATGTATGGATCATGTGATCATTGTGACCACCTCATGAGCTTTAGAATAAATTTCACCCTGTGGTGTCATTTCTAAATGGCTCACTTTGTCGCTGACTCAGAATGGTACTGTGGTAGGGTCATTATTTGTTGAGTGACTAATAGCTGACGTCATCCCTGATGCATTTACTACACAGCTGTCTCTTCACAAACCATTTCAAACTTCATTCCTCAGAGAAAAAGTAAAATTGTGTGATTAAGATAAGACCTAATGGGTTGGCCTGGAGAGATGGTTCAGCGGATAAGGGCTGCTCTTCCAGAGGTCCTGAGTTTAATTCCCAGCAACCACATGGTGGCTCACAGCCATCTGTAGTGAGATCTGGTGCCCTCTTAAGGCCTTCAGGCATACACACAGACAGAATATTGTATACATAATAAATAAATAAATACTCCATCATGCAGGCATGCACATACGTAAAATACATAAATTTTTAAAAAGACCAAACAAGTCTGTGCCAGCCCAGCCCCCAGTATGGTTGGTGGCATTTTGGTTGCTTCCAGGAGACAGGGAGGGTACAGCCAGGACGGGGGCTGCCTCTGGTGTGTAAGCGCACACCTGTGGGCCAAGGCTTTGTGTGCCAAGGCTTTGCAGAATCGCATTCTCAGTGTGGTACCATTTCCTTCCTGAGTTAGTACCACCCCCTCCGCCCCCGCTGCCCTGGTTTAGGAGAAGTGGCTGGGTACTCTTCCTTACAATTGGTAAGAAGAGATACGGGCTGGCTGAAGAGGGTCCTGAAAATGGAGAAGGGGATGAGGAGACATTAAGGCAGAGCTGAGGCTTTGGTGAGAAGGGCCATAGTGCAGCCCAAATTCTATTTCCTTGGCATGGTGGCCCTGCCTGTCCCCACTTGCCCTCCTACCCCTCACATACATATATCCTGCCCCCCCTCACATACACATGCACACGTACACGTGCACACACACATACACATGCGCACACACACACACACACACACGCACACTAGTTTGGGGATGTGTAGCTCCACTCAAGGATGGTCCAGGAGTGGTCAGCATTATGGGAGGAAAACCTTTACCTCTTTATCAGCTGTGAACAAGGGGTGGGGGTGGGGGGCAGAACAGGGGATGGCAGCTGGGAAAGGGGAATGGGAGAGGGGATCCTGAGTTGGGGGGGTGATAAAGAGGTACGTGGGGGGGGCAGGATATACGTATGTGAGAGGTAGGAGGGCACACAGTGAAACATTGACTTCCCAGAAAAACACTGTGATGACTTATTCTCTGAGATTTCAGCTCTGATTGCTTCGGGAGGAGCCCACCTGGGCT